CACTCCACCTTTCTTGGTAAACATGTCCCACTGGCGTACACAATATGACTATGCGCAGAGGCCGTTCGGTGGATAACACGTGAAGAAACGGCAAAAAATTGCAACATGCAAAAGAAAAACGTTTTGTCTTTTGTACGAGCGGAATTTTTAACAATCACTCGTTTGTTTTAATTCACAGGGAGCGCTTTTGGGGAATTTCCTTCATCGCATGCTCTTCCCTGTCTTTTGTTCGAGGAGAATTAGTCACCACCGTGCGAAGTGCGCATGTAGAGTGGCAAATGAGGGGGGGAGGAGGAAATCGGTATAGGCAAAATGTATGTAGAGTGTACTCGGGATGGACGCGGCGGGTACCATTTACAAACCGCACGTGTAAGTGTGACCACTGGGAAATTTCGCCAAACTTCGCCAAACTCCTCCATACGCACGTTTGCGACAATTCCACGCTGTAAAATTTTGTTTGTTGCGCGGTTGTGGTTTTTATTGTTCGTTGTGAATGCCATCAAACGGCAGAAGGGTCAACGTGCACCGCGTGCATAATTCTACTTTTTCCTAAAAATATCCTGGAGCGAAATTTGGAGCAGCATTTTGGAGAGCCCTCCGAAATTTGTTTCCCTCCTGTCTGCTGCTACGTAACAAACGTCATTCCAAAAGCGTCCTTCTTCATCTTACAAATGCAACGGCGTCTACACCGCTGCCGAATCCGCAATGATTGTCTAAACGTGTGTAAATGTGCTGCGTTGCATTAAATCAAGGGAGGGGTTCCCATTTCACGCAAGTGAAGCGATCTACGCGCGTTTCATTCCGTGTATAGGCAAGTTTGGCCCCCGTTCCATTTGCAGCTGCTTGGACAATTGCCGTGTGTGTACTCCTTTCATGTTTCTTTTTCGTCAACCATTTGTCCATCTAAAAATTAGACAATTTTCAAAATTGCTAATAATTTGCGGAAAAATCACTTGTACAGTCGGGTAAAAGTTGGATTTATTTTTTTCTTTCAAGCTAGCCAAAAAGTGGAGAAAAAAAAAAAAAAACATTATTATTGGGTAAAGCGAATGTTCGCAATTTTGGACACACGTGTGTGTGTGCTGTTCTTTTCGAAGTGTGGAGGCGCTGACCCACTGGGGGCAAACAAACGAATGAGGAGAAGAGGGGAAAAAATAGAACAAAATAAAAGTAGGAAAATGTGAGTTGTGGACTACCTATATCTGTGTGGGAGTTGAAGAATAGGCCATAGCGCTGAAAAACGTATAATAACGTGGGAGAAAAAAAAAAAAAAAAAGACAGTCATCTATGCGCATGGAAAAAGTGCTAACTTTACACCACCCTTATGTGTAGGTAACTCTTATTCGTCCTACTTTGGCACATCATTTTGCAATTCCTATGTATGGTTTCGCTGGATTGGAAACATGTAGCCCCTTCCTTATAAAGATGCGCACGGGGGTGATTTAGCATAAATTGGCATGTTACCTAAACGTCTCTTCACGTCAATTTAATTTTCTTAAAAAATGGCCATTGATTTCATCATTATGACTCCTTGTCAGGGGGAGAAAATGGCAAACTCCCTAACAGGTGGAAGTCCATAAATTCAAAGGTACACTCTCCTTTTGAGATGTTCGTGCTCTCATTTGAAGCACTTGCTTGGGAATGAGAACAGAAGAATTGGTTCCTTTCTCCCGAATTCTGAGAGTAAACTTCGGGGGAAGGCAAGCGAAAGGGGGGAGTACCCAGTGACACATAAAATAGAGGTGTAAGCGATGATGCTCATCGCACAGTTGCCATTCATCGGCAGATTGTTTTCCTTTCCAGTGACTGCTTTCGTGAAAATATCGCGCACGAAGGAGAATATGTAAAAGGAACATACATGTATGGGGACTCCATATAGCCATCTTCATTTACGCACCATCATATTTGCCATTTTTGTGCTTCCCTTTTATGTGTGCATTTGTATGGCACCAGCTGTGTGTATGTTCGCCTTTCTCCTTTTGTTCACATTTACGTGTATGTCGGATCACGTATTCTTTATGCCTCTATGTGTGTGTAGTGGTAGAAGGACGCGGGTAGCTTTTTTTTTTTTAACCTTCCATGCGTGTAAGGTGGAGAATTCAAGCTGATACGTTTCCATATATGCCATGTTGAAGCTACTCACAAAGGGACGATAAAATTTGATAAGGAAAAAAAAAAAAGCAAAGAAGAGACCAGTGAAGAACAGTTCCCATGCTGCTGTTTCGCTTTCTTTAATATTTGGTGAATTCAATGTGAATGGGAAAAAAAAAAAAAGCCAAGGGTAGAAATAAAAACAGATCGCACTGTTAGCCAAGTGAGGCATAAAAATGTGTTCGCGCATCGCACATGCATTTGGAAGGAAAAAGGTGGAAATTGATTCACGAGGCGCTTGCATAATCCTCCCTCGTCCTTAGAAGGAAAATATCACAGTAAACGAGAAAGAAGAAAAAAAATAATGCGCCATAAATATTATTACACTTTTTTCGTGGTGATGGCGAAAAAATGAGAAATGTTTTTTTGTCATTTTATTTTTTTTATTGTCCTTTCTTGTGATCGGGTTTCACACATATGTCGTTGTGGTGAATTTCGTTTCTGCTTTTTCTTCCTTTATTTGAGGCACATAGAGGAACCCGCCTAAGCGAAATCGTCCGACGTCCCCCTCAAGAAGCGCGTCCGCTAGTGCTGCAGATTGAGCAAACGGGTGTGCAGTGGGGGGTTGCTTAGTTACTAAAATAACTAGAAACTGAGCTGAGTATTTATTCACTTAGTTAACAACTATTCACCTACCCCGTTATGCCAACACGCCTTCACATCGTTTCTACCCTGACGCTGCGCACAGCTTAGGTGTATTGCCATCCCTGAATTTGCCTCTCTGGGCAGAATTGCATCTACACTTCTTCTGCGAAAATAGCGAAGAGGACAAAGGCGCCCCTTGCTGGAGTTAGGGTAGTGTGTGCCATCCTTGAATGGGAGAAGTAGCGCCTTTACAAAGTTCACATAAGTGTACGCACTTGCGTTTGTATTCAGCCCGGCATGTTGGGAAGTTTAGAAGACGGACTAGTGGTTGATTGACTTGAAGCGACGCGTTGACGTAGCACGGAGACGAAGCGGAACCATTAAAATGCCGTTTCTTTTCTGCCCCATTTGACGGTGTTCCCATCGAAATTATACTTGAACGGCTGCACCACGTGGCAACACTGAAACGATACGATGCCTCTTTGTAAGAATAAAAACTCTCCATTTGTGCACTCATCGTGGAGTTCTCCCCTCCCCCGCGCGAACTACATTGAAGAGGCATACGTACCTGTGTGTTTGATTGTTGCCGTCCCCAGGGTTAAGAGTCTAAACAAAGGACGGCTTAGACATTACCGCCAAAACAGAGAAGCACATCGTAAAAGGCATCCTTCCCTCTCCCCCCTCCCTGGCTTCACACAAAATGGTCGAAAATGGATGCAGCCTATTAATAAAAAATTTAAGCTTCCAAACCAGTCCAGATAAAATCAGAAAAATCTTCCAGAGCTTTGGAAAAGTACGAGATGTGTATCTCCCCCTAGACCACTACACAAGGAGGCCGAGAGGCTTCGGTTTTGTAGAGTATTATGAACCACAGTATGCAAAAGAAGCCTTAACTATTTTGAACAATTCGAAGATAGATGGCAAGGAAATTAAAATCATCGTTGCTCAAAACAGGAGGAAGTCCCCCGAGACGATGAAGATGTACCAACACAATGCACGTGAGGGTAGATACAGAAGGCATCGTTATCGGAGTGACAGTGGGGGAAAAAGAATTCACAGAAGTAGAAATAGATCAACTGAACAGGAGAAACACAGATATGATGGAAGTAAGAGTCGTATAATGCATAAGATGAACAAAAAGGAAAAAAGACTGAAGAGGGAAAAAATGACTAGCAGATATCGGTATGGTAAGAAGTACGTGGAGAGCGTTTCCACCTACAGCGCGTCTTCTTCGTACCGTTCGTCTTACAGCAGGGGAAGTAATCGTCGGAGTAGCAGAAGCCGAGACAGAAGTCGAAGCCAAAGCCGAGAGCGACGCGCGGTAAGGAGTACGAGCATAACGACCAGCTACAGCAACAGGTACAGCCACAGTTACAGCGCCAGCAGCTACGAAAGCGACAAAGGAAGAAGAAAAACCAAAAGGAAGAGCCCCAAACGGGGACAAAGAAAGGGCCAAAAGGAGGGAACCGCCAAAGCCATGAAGAGGGAGAGCAGCGAGACCTTCAGAGAAAGCGTCAGTCTCAGCAACAGCGAGGGGGCAAACAGAGACGGCGGCCCCGTAAAGTACCCTCAAGAAGGCATCGAAAGAGGAAGCGGAAAAGACCCGGGGAAGGACCCCCCAAAAGACATGCGCGGACAAAGCTGTAAAAGCTTTTCTCGCAGCGGAAAGAGCCAGGAAGGTAATAAAGACTCGCAGAAGTGCGCTTCCAAGAGAGGAAGCTACTCCACCGAGGAGGAAAATCAACCTGGGGAAAAGACCCACCACGACGGAGAGTCACTCAAACGTGGAGAAAGAGTGAAAACAATCAAAACGAAGAAAAGAACAAAGTCAATTAACAATTCCACTGAAGATACAATCCCCTCCAGGGACCCAGACGGAAAAAAGAACTCAAATGAGGAACCACCACAGCTGAGTTCTCAAGAGCGCCCAACAAATGGACAGAATAAACAACCATACTTTCTGGACCGTTTGGAAGAGAATAAAACAAAAAAAAAAAAAGGAACAAAAAAAAAAGCTAAGTCTCTAAGTCCTAGTAGCACCAGTGATGTAATCTCTGAAGGCGTGACTCAAGAGGAAGCAAGAGGCGAAGCGTATTCAGAAAGGGAGTCACCACCTGCAAAGAGGGTACAGCGAAAACGCAGCAATAACAACTGCAGTAGGGATAAAAAGAGTGGCTATTCCCAAGGGGCAGAGGAGGAACAGTCCTCCCCCCGCGTGACAGAACAAAAACGCATATGCCTGTCCATTGCAAGAAGCACAAACAGCGGAAGTAACACAGACAGAACACAGAAGGATCATCTACGAAGTGGTGAAGCACAAAATGGTAACGGAGTGAACACAAAGAACAAATCGAGCAGTAGTGCCACGGGGAAGGAGAATAGGGTCCACCTAAAGGAGCACTTGGAATTGTCTCACCTCAGCCGATATGATAATGCAAATGGGGGGGACAACTCCGACTCTGGGGAAGACTGCATTGGTGGTGATGCCAACTCGTCCAGCAGGATTAGCAGGATCAGAAGCACTAGCAGCAGCTGCAGAGAATACAGAGGATGCAAAAAAAGACAGAAGCAAAAATATCCACACAAAGGGAAGAATAAAAAAAGAATTAATGAGAGCCATTCAACGGATAGGTCCAGCACGGCGGAGAAGAGAAGCGTTCGTAGTCGATCTAAGGAAGGGAAAAGAGGGAAAAATGACAACGGAGACAGAAAGATGATGCAGAATGGACGAAGAAAGAGAGGAAGAGTAACCTTGAGCATAAATGACAGTAGAGGTGGATCCAATGGAGGGGGAAAAGTCAGGGAAAGGAAAACCACCACTAGAGTGAGAGACCGAGAAGCGACCAGTGGGGACACAACACGGGAACGAAGCCGAGATAGTGAAGGTGAATCACCTGGACGCGCAAAAATCACCCTGCGGAAAAATAACACCCGCTGCAGCAGTAGCGGTAGCCCCGTTGAAGGGGAGAAGAAAAGGGGCAACACCCACTGTAAGAGTGGAACAGCGCACAGAAGTAGAAGTATCTGTGACGATGCGATGGAGCAGCCAGATGGGAAAAATGGCGTCTCGAAGAGGAAAAGGAGCAGCAGCGGTAGCGGCAGTGATGGCCAAAGCGATGACGAAAGTGATGGCCGCGACACACGGCGGTTAAAACGAGGACGCATGTCCGAAGACGAAGAAGACACACCCCGCGAGAAGCGCAGCCGCCAGGGCAAGAAGACCCGAACGGCTAGCAACTCGATTGATAAAACGAAACAGACGAAAAGTGAGAAGCTGAACAGAGGGGAGCTACAAGAGGGGGACTTGAAAAAAAAGTCCAAGAGAACCAAGTCCAAAAAGGAGAAATCCACAAAAGGGAAGTTCACAAAAGGGAAATCATCAAAAGCGAAGTCCACGAAAGCCAAATCCACAAAAGAGAAGTCCAGGAAGACGAAATTCACAAAAATCAAGTCGCCAAAAAAATCGTATGACAGCTCGACGTACAACCGAAGCAGCAGAAGTAGGTCCTCTGCCGGATCGTCCATCGAGAGTAGTAGTTCTCACAGCGAGTCGTCTAAGATGGAAAAAAGTATGAAGCACTTTTCTGCGAAAGGTTCCAAGGGGAAGACACAAAAACGGGACGTCCGCAGGGGGGGGGCAAGAAGGATAGACAGCGACACGTCTGATGATAGCTCCTCCTCCGTCAGTTGTGGGGACTCTTCAGCGGTTCGAAGAAAGCGTTAAATGAGCGCTCATAAAAAGGCGCAGAGGGGAAAAAAAACGTGTGTATGTGCAAACACACGTATGCAGAGTTGTAAGTGAAGATATGCGGGTCCCCAGCGCCATGCACGAGGTCCTGTCCGAATTACCACCTCGGGGTAAAAATGAAACGGTGAAGGGATGAAAAAAGAAAACAAAATGGCAGCTTTGAAGAATTAACAACAAAATGGAAAAAAAAAAAATCCCCCTTTGGCCAAACTTCACAATTTTGTATGATCATCCGGCGCAACGTAGCAGAGGAGAACTCCCCTCCTATTGTTGCAACGGTGAGCCTAATCACCCTTGAAACAAAGAGCGTTATCGACCAACGGGCACAAAGCTGGGGAAACCATTTAGGCGAAAGATTGGCGAAAGAAACAATTGGAAATAATTCGATAGGGTCTCATGTGTGCATTTTTTGCACGTTGGCCCATCCATGTAGAGGTTTTACTAAGGCTGCAGTTTAGTGCGACATGTTGGAGCTATGTCGTGTGTTTCCCCGTTCACACTAGTCGTAGACACCCACGTATACGCGCCTTCTTCACGAGGCTTTTCATTCTTTCCCCCTCCACTTGTTCTTTTCTTTTACGTGCCTACGAAGCAGAGTAGGGAGATAAGCAAAGGTATCACGCGTGCGGGCATTAGCCATCACCCCCATCGTGTTTTTCCTTTTTTTTTTTTTTTTTCTTAAGTTTTTCCATCCAGTGAAATCACATTTGTGCGTATTCTTACTCACTCGCTCGGCTCATCAGAGTATGCCAAACGTCGGCTCGTACCAAGGGGTTTGAAAAAAAGTGGCTCGCCAACGGAGTGGTCTCCCCCACCGGCAAGAACAAACCAACGTAGTGCTGCGCTGTGATCACATCCTTTCGTCGCTGCACATATGTGGAAGTAGAAAAAAAAAACTACGATGCCATCCGATAGGTACATACGTACAAACAGGGGGAAAGGCCTCGTGGAGGCGTGTGTCACCTAAGGTTGCTCTTCCGTAACACGCCCTCCTTCACTCTTAAGGTGAAGAAAAAGTAAAAAAAAAAAGAAGAAAAAGAAAATTAAAACTGAAACGAATTGGTATTAATTAAACGAGAGAATGACAGCAATGTTGAGGATCATTAAAAATTAATCTTAACAAAAAAAGAAAAAAGAAAAAAAATGTCTAGATAGAATGCACTCTACGGTCCGTCTATACATACGAGTAAGAATGAACACGTTTGAGAAGACCTTTGAAAGTTGTCACATCAGGAATTGTGGTTGTCTTCACTTGGGTGGATTCTCCGTCTCCTTGTCTTCCCGAATGTACAGTATGTTGTTACACCTAAAGGGGGGAAGGACAAAAATAGTAAACAATGATGAGCTCACGTTTTAACTTTGCCTACAATTCTGAGTGCTTCCAAAAGGGGACCGTCCGGTTCTCTCACTGGTGGTGCTGGAGAAAAGAAAAAAATCACACTTGGACGACCCCCCCACGGGAATGTAACACTAATGAATCGGTAATGCAGAGAAGCACCCCTACCTCAGGAATATCTCCCCCAGGGTGCCTTTGTACTCTCCGTGAATCCATTCCTCCGCGTTGGCCAGCCGTATGTTCATGTAGGCGTCAAAAGATTTGAGGTTCCCTTCGGTGGGGGAAAAAAAGAGGGATCAGATTTCGAGTGCCATCAGACTTGTGCACTTTGCTGCACGGCATGCTGGCGTACATATCTCCCCATGCAGTTGCACAGCGGTACAGTGTCCATGCGATAGACCAGCTCACCTTTATACTCCATGCCCCATTTCAGCTTTATGATAACTCGGTTTCCAGCCAGACTATTCAGGAAGGGCTTAGGGTTGAGAGGAGCTATTCCCTAAGAGGGAAGGGGTGAGAAACAGGCGTGGTAAAGAAATATGGATCCACGTTTTATCGCTATCTATCTTTCATCCGTTCTCATTTGTTTCCTTTTTAAAACTTATCCATGGTGTGGCCCACCAGGCATTCTACCTCCTCACCTAGGAGGGTCATTTGTTTTTAATTTTTTTCTTTCTTTTGTAATCTGCTCTTACCACTGACATATCTCCTTTTCTATACAATTTATGGGGATGAAGCAAATGTTCGAGGGGAGCAGAATGTACAAAGCTGCGAATTATAGTAGGTACAGTACGTCGCGCGATTAAAATGGGGGAAAAGAAGTGTTCGAGGGGGAAATAGCTACGAAGAGAACACTTGAAATTGGTTCGACTATTTTTTTTTTTCTTTTTTTTTTTTTCTTTATCTCAAGGGGGTCGGTGGGGAGATTTGTTCGTTCCCTTTGTGAAGCAGTTGGGGTGGGGAAAGTAGCTGTTTCGATCAACTGCGTTTTTATAGCTTTCAAAAAGTTTCTGCATTAGGGGGGATAATATCTTCTCTCATTTTTCGCATTCTTGCCTTCTTTGTGTTGTTTGAATTTTTTTTTTCCCGCTGTTTGATGCCCCCTGACACGTCACGCTGCCTGTGGTCGACCGCCATGTCCGAAAAGGTTAAACGCCGCGCTGTGAGGGGGACACCAATCGACATGTAAGGTAACCGCCGAATGGAGAAAAATCTTAAATTAAACATTGAAGGGGGTCTAAAGTTTAAAAATTAAAAAAGGGTTAACATGCATGTATGTTGTGTAGGTACACGCCTATTAATATTGTGGTTTTTCCTTTCCGTGGGAATTTTCTCTTTTTTTTTTTTTTTTGTTGTATTCATCTGCTGTGTTCTCCATTTTTGCTCACATTTCCTCAGTTGTGTGGTATAAACGCGCGGTCTTCAACCAATGAGGGGGGTGGGACGCGCTCGAAGGGAACTTCCCACTCTTCCCCTCGTCTTTTGAGCCAACCGCTGGGCGGTAAAAGGGGGCACAGAAAAATGTGGCACTCAAAAATGGCGAGCTTAAATAGGGACATCTCCACTTGTCGCACCCAGATCGAAGAAAAACTCTCACACATGCGGAGTAGGGGAAGGAGATACACAGCCACGACCCCATCGACGCGCTGCACTTCTGCAACTGTGTAGCGGCCTTAGCGGCGTGACTGTGCAACTTGGAGCCTATTGCAACGTCACCCCCGGGATGCATAAAGTGGGAGTACAAAGAAAAAGGGTTCTCTCCACTGGAAGTTTATTAAAAAAATGAATCCCGCCAACCCCCAACTTGTCATCAAAAGATCGCCATTGCGATGTGGGTGAGGAGGGACACATCAAACATAATAAATAAGCAAACGCATAAATGAACAGAAGGGGGACAAATAAATCAGAAATTGGAGATAAGGGCGCGACGGAATAGGGGAGTCGGCTCATATCTGAAAGGGGATGACACATGAGTGAGATGCGTAGGAATGGAATGGAGAGCACGCTATCATTAAACACGTTCCAACCGAACACATCACACCAGAAAATATCAAGTGAAAAAAATAAAAATGCCAAACTTTAAATGTACACATGAGTGTTGCGTTCGTGAGAGGGCGAAGTGGGGGAGCTTCTCCTAAGGCTGTCCATAAGGCGATTGCTCCTGACGGTTGCCACTCCCGTGTCACGCTTCTATGAAGGCCCCACTGATGAGCTGAGCTGACTGCCACTCCCCACCACGGCATAATAACGTGGGCGAATCCTATGTGTGGCCACGCCCCCTGCATGGTGCAGAACGGGTAGGTAGTTAGAACACTGCCCCAGGGGGGGTAGTTTTCCTCGCAATGGTAAAAGTGTTGTCAGTTTCACCTCTTCAGATCACCTAAAGTCGTAGCAGCCGATGCCCGTATAGCCCATAACCTTCTCCAAGTAGAGGCACAGCCATTTCTGCATCTTCACGTAGGGAGTCTTAACCTTTCCTATTTCTTCATTTGCCTTGACAATGGTGTCAAAGTCGTATTTTTTTATAATCATCCTGTACGCAGCGACGTACTCTCCTGTTCTGTCTCTTCCCCTTCTGCAGTGGACAATGAAGATGGTATTCTGCATGGTTTGAAACTTTTCGTTCAGCTCATTTATTCTGCTAAGAAGTTTGTCGGTGTCCCAGTTGAGGCTCTTCAGTTCGTTTTCCAGGGTCTGCACGGAGGGGGGGTGTAGAGTCGGCACAGAGGATATGTCACGCAGGGTTACTAGCACCTGGGATGTAACACTAGGTGCTGGGAAGCGTGGCACAGGGCATGGAAAACCCATTTCACACTAGGGACGCACGCACTACACCCCGATTCAACAAGAACAGATAATAAACATCACCGCCTCTTACCTTCGCATCGACGTCGTAGGGATTCTCCTGGTGTCCCAAAATAACTTGATTGATGATGGTGGCGTCTTTTACGTAGCACCTTTGTGAGGTGTAGCAGCATCCCTCCTGCGGAACGATCGAAGGTGTGTACAAATGATCGGTGAGTGGCATGATATTTTTCGCATTTTTGTCGATACACTAGTGGTAATCGCTGCTTCATTTCATAACTTCCCTAGGTTATATAAACAAAGGGAGCGGAGGAAAGAAAAAAACACGTCAATTCTGGTCCTACCTTCAGATCATTTCTCAAAAAGGAGATTATGTGGAGGGGCATGTCATCGCTGTACTTGAGCTTTGCGTCCTCCATCACTTTCTTGATGTGCTTGCGCAGAAGTTCCTCCGAAAAGACGCCTACATTAGGGGAGAAGCGCCGGGAGAAACGAAACAATCGTGAACACATGCACACTTCTTTTTTCGAGAGCACAAATGAGAAGGAGGAAAGGTGGAAACCCTCGTTCCTACCATTGAATAACGGGACGCTGCTCCTTAGGAGAACGTTGTTATTCTGGGGGTTCACGTCAACGATGCGAAGTCGATTGGCTGCGGGGAGTGCATAGGGAGCGGTGTTACGGAGGAAAGAAGCTATAAAAGTGTAGGCCGTTTGGGATGAACATAAAATGGCAGGGGACGGGACACAAATTCTTACGCTTAAATTGGGGATATTTGTATATGAGGCATCTTTCGTTCAGGTCGTTGCAGTCCAGATCGAAATCGACCTCTGCGGAGGGGAAGGAGGAAAAAGCAGGCCCATCAGTGGAGCGGTCAACTGGTTAATCAGCCGATAAACAAATGACCTATCAGTCGTTGATCAAATGACCAATCAGTGATGTGTCCATGCCCCCATGCGGGACTTACGCTTATCGTTAAGCTCGTAGTACGAAATGAAGATGCCAAAAACGACCAGGACTACCAGCAAGATGTAGATGAAGCTTTTGTACTTTATGAATCTGTTTGCAAAGGCTCCGCCTGGGGTATGGGAAGGAGGGGTAAAATGAGGGGGCGACGGGGCATGCCAAAATGGACTTATGCTCCTATTACAGGTACACATTATGGGAGCCTCTAAAGGTATTCCCCAAGTAGGATAGGTTAAGACTCCCTCCGAGGGGACTCCCCAACCAGGGTAGAGGTTAGCCGTTTTTTCAAGCGAGCGTGGTTGCTTTTACAAGCAGAGTTGGGCTGTTTATTATCTCTTTCTATGCGCCCCTTTCCTTTGGTGTTTTTTTTTTTTTTTTTAATCCTTACTGCTATCAGCAGGGTCTGGATTCTCTTCGTCATGCAGTTGGTTCCACATTGTCGGTCACGCTCGTTCAGAAGAAAATTATCCCCAATAAATGTCGCAACTAGATCCAGCAAATAAATGTGATTGATAAATGACACAAATATATGTCACAAATAGATATCACAAATAGATGTCATAGATAAATGTCACAAATAGATGTCATAGATAAATGTCACAAATAGATGTCACAAAAAAATGTCACAAATAAATGTCACAAATAGATGTCACAAAAAAATGTCACAAATAAATGTCACAAATAAATGTGATTGATAAATGCCACAAATATATGTCACAAATAGATGTCACAAATGGATATCACAAATAGATGTCATAGATAAATGTCACAAATAGATGTCACAAATAGATGTCACAAATAAATGTCACAAATAGATATCACAAATAGATGTCATAGATAAATGTCACAAATAGATGTCACAAATAAATGTCGCAAAAATGAAAGTGAAGATAAAGCCTAAAATCTAGGGCGCCCCTCTTTTTCCACGTGTTCTGTTCTGATCGTTGTACAGGGCGTGAGGTAAATTCTGTGCCTACGTTTTGCTTCCTATGAGCAATTTAGAAAATATTTTTTTAATTGTTTTTGTTTTTTTCTTTCTTTTTTTTGCTAAATCGCGCTTTCTACTGTTCATGGTGTCGAAGGCAGCCTCGCCACAGTTAGGCATCTGCAGCTTCCGGGGGCGGTCAATTTTTGCCCTTCAGATTTTTTACTTTTTATAGTTAGCTTTGCGCCTTTGCAGTAATTTAATTCTTAAATGGCTCTACGTGCAGGGGGGGAGGGTGCCATTTTTTCTTTTTTTTTTCCTTTTTCACGTCTTGGCTCTGTTCCTTTTTCGTTTTTTTTTTAAACTCTATGTTGTGTGCTCTCTTCTATGCTAGATTCGCGCGTCATACACGTTTAAGCTAACAGACTGCGCATGCGACTAGGGCAAAAATGTTAAAGCCATAAAAAAGTCAAGCCAGAAATATGATATGTGAAGAAGTGTGAAAGTAGGAAGAAATATCAAGTACAAAGTAAGAAATGCGAACAAGTAACAACAAAGCGAAAATATAAGAAGGGGGCCACAGAAAAGAACCTCAAGAAACACAAGAAATGGCAAATCGAATGGAAGAATCAGTCATCTATAGAAAAAAATAAAACGCAAAAAAATGAAAAAAAAAAGAAAAAAAAACGAAAGGAAGCGAAACGAAACCAAACGAGACCGAAAAAAACCTACCGCGGAAGGGCTCTTTCTACACATATTTAAAAAAAAAAAGAGATAAAAACAAATTCAGCAACCCCATCATATAGAGACATATACATACGTGTGTATATGTATACTTCCCCGTTGGTTAACCGAAAAATTAAAAAAAAAAGCGAAAAAAATAAAACAACTACAGGATGAGCGAAAAGTTACATGAGAAAAAAAATAAATAATCATCCGTATCTCTGCTCTGCATTACTTTCCGTTGCATATATGTTTCGCTGCTCATATGTTTTTACCTATCGCCCATTTTAGCAGTCCCTTTACTTTTGTTACCCCATTTTTATCCTGTCACCGTGGTTGTACATTGCTGCTCTTTTTCTTCGTACGTTTCATTAAGAAGATGTGAAGCATCGCGCGAGTATCGGAAAAAGGAAAAAGGGAAGAAGCAAATTAATATGCCCGTATCGCTATGTCCTTATGCAGCAGATCGAAAAAAAAAAAAAAAAATTATGCAAATGAATCGGCTAACCTAAGGAACGCTGCGGAGGAAAAAAAAAAAAAATCCTCTTTGTGTCCGAGGTCTATACCAACAGGATTCACTAAACAATTCCATGTTGTATGATGGAAAAAAAAAAAAAAAAATTAACCCTTGAGTTTCCTATGTGGACCACTCCTTCCAACAGTTGATTCACTTGTGTGGTGGATCCCCCTGCATCCAGCTGGCGCGTAGCAAAGTGGCGAGGGTTTCGGGTCACCTAGTCTGGTTGCAGTGTCACAACTGGTGTGCGCTGGTAGGCATATGATTGAGAAAGCGACATGCTTCCAATATTTCAGCGTCTGAATACCACGTTCTCTTCAAACTGCGCGCATATTTCCTCCACTCCTTCACCACCGAGCTGCCTAACCCCGGGAGAGGCTCCGACGAAACGGCGTTTTGATCGTTTTGGAAAAATTCCCGCGGCATCTCTGCCCACCAAAAAGTGTGTAACCGAGGCCCGGATGAAGCCTGTGTGTGTAAGGCAAGTAGCTATGTTATTCGATTTCACGAATTAGCGGCGAAATCCGGTTCTTTCAGTTGCGCCACTTCGTTTTTACTTCCCCCCTTTTCGCCTAATTTTTCCTCACGCAAGGCAACTTCTCTTTCCATTTTTCCATGAAAAGAAAAATCCATCATGGTAGGATTGATCAAATGGGACATGTGAGCGTGTCATACGCGATAACCTTCGCAATCACACGATTAGCTCCGCAGGCGGGGAGGAAACTTCCTATGGGGGTTATCTCCCGATATACCTCCCTATCCGAAGTTGGCACCACTCCTTCATGCATAGGTAAAGATAACAACGAGACCTTGCAGTAAAAGATGATCAGGGGAGCTAACGGCATTTCGGCGCCGATTGGAACGCTCCATTTGTGTGCCCATGTGTTAGATCAGTTTCGCCCGTTTTGGTTTAACGTTTTTTTTTTCTTTTTTGCATAGCAAAGCTGTCGAATGCACACTTAAAAAAAAAGGGGTGGGAGCACGTAGAGGCGTTTTTATGAACGCGCGTTTACGCCCATAGGTGTGAGCATGCCCCTGTGTGTGGGCAATGGGGTTAGGGCTGTTACTTGTTGGAGGTGGAACCGAAGGCGCCCTCGCCCCTGGACGTCTCATCCAGCTCATCCACCAACTCAAAGGAAAGGGGTTCTCCCGTGAACGAAACAAGCTGCACTAGCTTGTCATTCTTTTTAATTACATATTCTTCTTCACTTGTGTTGTCCAAGGCAGCAATGAGTTCCCCTCGGTAACCTGCATCTATTAAGCCTATAGAATTGGCTAGCCGGAGTGGAGTCTTCGAAATGCTGCTCCGAGGGAATAACAGGTAGCTGGTATTCACGATTTCTGGGTTCTTCTGATGAGCACTGCTCTCCTTCATGCAGAAACCACCCATACCGATGTGTCCACCTGCATTCCCGTCCCTCTTGTAGTAATAGTTACACTTGTACTGGAGGGCTATGGCTTTGATCCCCAACTTTACAAAGGTGGTTGATTTTGGCTTCAGAACCTCATCCTTAATTATGAACAGATCCAAGCCACTGTCTCCTTCGTGATGTGTTTTGTGATTCTTGTACATTTCCCGGACTTCGTCATTTAGGCACACGATTTGGAGATGCATCTTTGTGAAGGTGTTGCTGGTGGTTCTGGTGGTGATAATGGGGAGAATCGGGCAGCTGCCACGACGCGGTAGGTTTTGCAGGTACTGTTGTGTGCAGTCAATGCCCAAGTCGAACGTAGCTCTGTGCAATCAGAAAAGGAAGACTAACCAAGAGTATCTACGAGCAAATGACGGGAATATTACTGCTAATCCTATGTTGGAGAGTTTGAATCGGTATGAATCAAGCACAATTTCTTCTTTTTTTTTTCCCATCAGTCTTCCATTTCAGCAAGTGTGCTTCATCTGTTGGTCAGTTATCTTTGGAACAGCCAAAATTTTTTCCCTTGTGAAGATGCAATTTGTACACACGAGTTTTTTTTTTTTTCTTCTTCTTTCCTTCTCTCTCTCTCCTTTGGTGGCTATGTGTCACCTTAAAAGGAATGAAATTGATTAGAAACGAATTTTATTTTGCCACGAGTTGGCGAGATTGTCATTCGATACGGACTCCTCGGTGTAGACCCTTTAGCAAAAGATATGCACATGTATATATATTTTTTTTTCTCTCCTTTGGTTTATTTTGCATGAGTGGAGGGAGACCCAAATGGGGATGCACTAGTCTCCTCCTTTCTCGATGTGTGTTCACTTCGGAGGAGCCAATGGGGCTTTGATTCAACGGGGTGGGCTTGAAGTAAGGAAGCCCCAGCACAGGCACTAGCCTAATACCACTAATATGCTGCTCCCTTATCTAGCTGCCCCGCACTGATAGGTAATAGGGAGAGAGGATTACTATCCGCTTGGCATATCGAACGTGACTCGAGAGCATGTCAGACTACGTGAACGCATGCGCGTGGGGGAAAAGTAATCCATACCACAAGATAAGAAGGTTGGGTAGCTGCACTCGCCACGCCGTAACTGCACTGTTCATGTGTTTGGATATGTAGACGGCACAAGGAAGAGAGAGCCATCGGAGGGAACTGTGTGGCAGAAATGGTCACTACATTTTGTGTCCACCTACGAACAGCCTTTCCAAAATTGACCCATTCCTAAAGGTGCTTCATTTTCACGGGGAGGAGGGACAAACGAAAGTGTTTTTAGCGGCCAGAGAAGGAGGGACATCCATATGGGGGCATCTACCCATAATAACATGTCGGAGAAAAATCGCTTCTTCCATTTTATTTCTGCCCGCATGGATGCGGTAAGTAGCACCGCTCGGGGGTGAAGCGCTCAACATACAGGAGGGAGATGCCCCCTGCATTTGTAGGTACACACACACTCTTCCCAGTCTTAAACAAGCATCGAAATTTACTTCACTCAAGTGGGAGTAGCGATTGGACCATGATGTGGAATGACCCCCGAGGGCTATTTTTTAACTACTGTTACCTGTTGGGTAACCAAATAGAAAAAAAAAAAAAACGAAGTAGGCTTGTCATTTTTTTTGCTTTCCTTTTTGTTGGCCCTCCCCAAATCTGGTACCGTTTTGCAATCATCAAGGGGGAAGAAGACTTGCCTTTATTTCTGTTCGGTAGGAATGGCAAATGTAGGAAACCCTCAATTGTTAACGTTAAAGTGACGAGGAAGGATGAAGCTTCTTTTTTTTTTTTTACACGGTTCTGCTGCTAATTGGTGTTAATCAGGAGAGAATTATGTACCCCTATCGGCTTCTTCCCTTTGTTCATTT